AAGAAACTGGGATCTGACGGTCTGAGATGGCTGGCTGAGCGGGCTGAGCTATGGGAACAGCAATCAGCCTGCATCTGTGGCGATTTCGCTGGCCTGACCTGATGTTCACGTATCTGGGTAGAATCCAACCTCAACCTTATTTCAAGTGGGTTTGAGTTTCTCTAATTGCACAATCCATTTCTTTGGGATTTTGTTTGGGTTCTTGCAAATTAAACACACCATACATCCAATTTGCATCCACAATGAGCTGAGCCACAAGCTACCACAAAGTTAACAGAATCTCTGCTTCATGTGGAGACTTTCACGCAAATCAGAACACTGAGCTACTGTCCAGTTGTTTTTCAATACACTAACATCTGCCCTGTAAAAATAAAATATTAAATGCACTATCACAGCTTCCTCCGTAAATGTTTGTCTTCCTCCTGCCAGTGCACTACCCTATCCCCAATTATTTAACCAACTTATAAAGATGCTATTTGAAGGCATCCAACAGACACAAAAAACACAGTTAAAAAAAAACATTAAAAAAATTAAAAGAAAAACAACTAGCCCAGACACACAGCCAATATCATCAAACTGATCGGAAAGAAAGGTAAACCCAATAATCATCAGGCAAACCACCCCATCAACAAAAGGGATGATAGTCAAACCTTCCAACAGAACAACAACAACATCGCAAACTTTCCCATGTCACACACATATACCAACTCCAAGAGATGTGGCCCCAAAAGGTCAAGGATTGATCAATTAAAATATATAGTGCATAGTAAACTTCCCCTTAAAAAGGAGTTCCATAAAGCACTGATTTAAGCACTTATGCACATCCTGAAAAGGCAGACTTCCCATCTGAAAAAGTAAGGTTTTTACCCACGAAAGCTTATGCCCAAATAAATCTGTTAGTCTTTAAGGTGCCACCAGACTCCTTGTTGTTTTTGTAGATACAGACTAACACGGCTACCCCCTGATACTAGACTTCCCTTAGGCACTGATTCTAGGAAAAATCTTCAGCTAAGGAATTCTTGCACACAGCAAAGTTCTGCATGAACCTAGGGACTGACAGCAGAGCAGCCCTAGCCTATCACAATTGCTAGGCAAAAGGTCATTGCTCAAGTATTTGGGGGACTTGTCTATAAAATGCTAATATTAAAACCTGGTATTGCAGGGTACAACACTCTCAGCTGTGGTCCACAAAAACGAACCATACCATGGGAGACTGGAAAAATGATTTCATGGTTGATCAAAACCTACTTAACTCTTTTAAAAATTTCTAGTGATTGTGACACAATTATTATTAGTGTCCTCACCATCCAAATGTTTTCTCTAACATCCTAAATCAGGGATGGGCAAATTTTTTGGCCCGAGGGCCACATCTGGGTATTGAAATTGTATGCTCATGAAATTGGGGATGGGGTGTAAGAGGGGGTGAGGGCTCTGGCCAGGGGTGCGGGCTCTGGGATGGGACCAGAAAAGAGGAGTTCAGGGTATGGGAGCATGCTCCAGGCTGGGGCGGGGGCTGGGGTGAGGGCTCTGGCTGGAGGTGCGGGCTCTGGGGTGGAGCTGGGGATGAGGGGGTTTTGGGGTACAGGAGGGTGCTCTGGGCTGGGATTGAGGGGTTTG